CCCGCGAAATTTTTTGGCGGGAAAATGGCTAACTCGGGAATTAGTAAAGATGAGAAGCTGAAATTTCCAGGGAATGTTCCCAGTCCACTTACGACTTAAAGTTATCGAATTCAGCCCCCAGGCGTGCGTGGTTCTCGTGTACGGGCACTTAAATTTTTGGCGGGAAATTACTAATTGAGCGGCTGAGCCAATTTTCAAAAAACGGCACGCTAAGCGGATATTGTTTATTTTTTAATGCAAAATTTACGATGAGTTAAGGTATTGAGAGCACAAGGTAGGTGTAAAGAAACAGCTACTCATGCAGTTAACCTATTATTTCAAGTCTGGTGCAAAAACGCATGATCGCACCGGCTCGCCTGGTGCATTCCAGCCTGGGTTATGTATTTTTGCCGTGCAGCGCTACTGCACTGCAACAGGCAGCAAAAATGCATATTGCAACGACCCTGTCAGTGTCTATGTGTGTGTGTATGTTTGTGTGTATGTGTTCGTCTGTCTGGGTGTTTCAACTCGCCAACCACGCAAGCTTTGAAACTGAAATTTTGCCAGTGTGTTCCCCAGCCAAGTGCTACCCCAGGACGCGGTGTCAACTCTCACGCACGTCTGGGCCTCGCGTACGAGCGCGTGAAAGTTTTGGCGGGAAAACTGATAACGAGAAAAGCTAGAGAGCTGAAACCTTAGGGGAATGTTCCCTACATGTGCATTCAAAAAGATTTCAAATTCAGCTGCCCAGGACTGCCCGGGGCTTATGTACGGGCACGTAAAAATTATGGCGGGAGAATTCATAACTCGATAACGAGAAAAGCTAGAAAATTGAAACTTTGGGGGAATGCTCCCTACTCATGCACGACCAAAAGTTTTCAAACCCAGCCCCTCAGGACCGCCCGGGGCTTACGTACGGGCATGTGAAAATTTCGGCCCGGGAACTGGAAAAGCTAGAAAGTTGAAACTTTAGGGCAATATTCTCCACTCATGTACGAGCAAAATCAGATGTCTGGAAGTGCCCAGGCTCAAGTACGAGCGCATGGAAACTTTGGCGTGAGAATTACTAACCCGGGAGCGGGGAAAGCTAGAAAGCTGAAACTTTCGGGGAATGTTTACTACTTGTGTACAACCAAATTAGGTGTTTAGAAGCACCCAGAACCCACGTATAAGCGCGTGGAAATTTTGGCGTGAAAATTACTAACCAGGTAACGAGAAAAGCTAGAAGGATGAAACTTTAGGGGAATGTTACCCACTCATGTACGAGCAAAATTAGGTGTTTAGAAGCACCCGAGCCCACGTACGAACGCGTGGAAATTTTGACGCGGAAATTACTAACCGGGAAACGAAAAAAGCCAGAAAGCTGAAACTTTAGGGTAATGTTCCCTATTCATGTATGACCAAAAGATTTCAAATTTAACTCCTT